GAGTGTTGTGTGTTGTGTGTATGGGTGTGTATGTGAGTGCAGGTTTGTGTGTGGGTGTGTGTAAGTGTGTGGGGGAGGGGTGTGCTTTCGTGTCTTGCGTGTGTGTTTGATGTGAGTGTGAGTGTGTGTGTGTGTGTGTGAGTGTGTGTGTGTGTGTGAGTGAGTGAGTGTGTGTGTGTGTGTTAGGTGTATAATTGTGTGTGTGTGCGTGAGAGAGAGAGAGAGAGAGAGAGAGAGACTGAGAGAGACAGAGAGAGAGAGAAAGAAAGAGAGGGGAGGGGTGAAGAGAAACAGAGGGAAGGAGAGAGAGATACAGCTCAGGTATTGGCGAGCTACTCATGCCTCTGCTCGGGCGCGATCAAAAAGCTCGTGTACTGTCCTGGTCTTATCCCCATTAACCATCTGTTCATGTTCTCCTTGTAAGTTATTTTTGATCTACCTCTCCATAGCTTGCCTTCTTAATTTTTCTTTCTTTTTTTTTTTCCTTTTCTTTATTTCTCTTTTCTTTTTCCCCCCTTTTCTTTTTCCAGTGAGAGCCAGCTAGTGAGAGCAAGGTGTCCTAGATCTATGCCGGTTCGTTTTGGTTTAGTTCCAGTAAGAGTTTACGGCATTTGCAACATTTTATTTTTTCTTCTTTTTTTTTAATTCCTTGCCCATTTATAGGAAGTTGACGCGACCTGATTAGTACTGGTCGAAATAAGTGAGTATGATAACGTCCAATATAGTTGTGCGTACATACGTAGGATAACAAGTAACTGATAACGATAGAGAATCGAGAATTATAGATGTAATTCAATGATCAGAGAGCAATGACGATTTTAGAAATAATAGTAACCGCATTTGCAACATTTTTTCTTTCTTTTTTTATCCCTTGCCAATTTATATGAAGTTGGCGTGATCTGATTAGTACAAGTAGAAATAAGTGCATATGATAGTGTCCAACAGTGTTTTGTGTACATACGTAGTAAATGTTACAGATAGAGATTCAAGAATTATAGATGTAATTCAATGATCTGAGAGCAATGATGATTTTAGAAATAATAGTGGTGATGAGAGATGATGTGGGATTGCGTTTATGTAATGTTAGCGTTCGTCCTATCTTCCTCTGCTCCAATGACGGAACTTGCAACACAAATAGGACATATTATCTTAAGTTCCCACGTTTAGAGGTGTTACTAGAGAGTAACATTCAGAGAAAAGGAGCTAGGAGAGATAAGGACCAGCGATTAGTGTTTGGTCGGAAAGAAAAAGCAGCAACCCACACCAGACCACCCGCCAACCACCCCCGTATGTCGATGCACACTCGCACATCTGCAAATATAGTCAGTAAGACAATATATAATAGGAAAAGTAGCGAATATCGAGCTATAGCCGCACCGCGGCGTGGCTTAAAGGATCAAAGACGGTGGTTTTTGTGGGTTTTAGTTTAAGTAAGAGTTTTACGGCACTTGCGACACATTAGGCCATAATGTAAGTTCCGAAGATTAGAAGTGTTACAAAAGAGTAACAAATATAAAAAAGAAGGAGAGATAAAAATCGATAGATGTATGGTAGGAAAAGAAGAGCAAACTACACCAGAGCACCCACCAACCACCCACATGTGTGGGTTTGTAAAGAGGTGCCTGTCATAAAAAGCGGGTAAAAAAGACAGACAGAAATAACAGGGCGGGTAAAAAAAGACAGACAGAAATAACAGAACGGAAGAACAGACGTGGGAGCTTTCAGGGTGCGCCATCCATCCATCGGCAAGTTTTATTTTTTTCAGTTTTAGTACGAACGAGTTTTACGGCACTTGCGGCAAAGTTAGGTCACAATAATATACCGGTACTATGTCATACAATATACTAATATACGATAACTAACATAATCCTATTTGTGTTGCAAGTGCTGTAAACTCTTACTAAGACTAATAAAACGAATCGACACAGATCTATAAGTGCCGACGGATACAGGTGTCACTTTAGAGTAGCACACAAAGAAAAGACAAAGGGGAGATAAGGACGACGGATGCATGAAATAAAAGAAAGAGCAAACCACACCAGAGAACCCGCCATCCTCTGACATTTGCGGATGACCGCCCTCCAACAACCCACAAGATTCAGAGAATTATTATTTCATTCGCGATAAAGCAGCTAAAAGCAAAAGCAGAAAATGATTTTGAGTAAAGAGAAGCACATCGACACAACAATGGTCATTTCGTGCTGGGGAAAAATAAGACAGACAGACAGACAGAAACAAGAGAGGGAAAGTAAAGAAGTAGGAACTACCAGTGGCGCCCTCCAACCACCCGTAACCACCCCCAAGAATCAGAGAAGTTTCGGTCTCGGTTAAACAGGGAAAAACCGAAAGCAGGACATGAGCTTTTGCTTTTGAGTTTGACCCCCTTCCCCCCTCCCTCCTGGGTACTGCCGCTGACTGAAGTGTCTTTAGGTCATTCCCAAAGGGGGGACATTTCTCGTTCTTATGCAAAGTAGAATTGTAAATGGGCTGATTCAATAATGTCATTCTCATAACTGGGTCTGAACTACAACAGGGTTCAGCTGCTTTTTCTTTCCTAATCCTTACTATCGTCATTTCCCTCTACTTCTTTTGTATGTTTGTCACACTCTTGGGACCAGCTATTTCCGGGGTGCCTTGAAAGTCAAAACAGACTTTGTGCTGTTAAAGCTAGAGAGCTAGAGAGGTGAGCAGAGTATGCCCGATTCCCTGTAAAGACTTCTCTGTTGACCTCCACCCCTTGGCGCACAGATGACCTTTTGAAGTTTCGAGCACGGTAAAATCTCTACTAAATTGTGAAAAAGATCATTTTGAGTTGGAGTAAAGAGAAAAAGAAGCACAGCGACATTATAACGGTCATGTAGAGAAGAAACAAAACAGATACATGTATACAGAAACAACAGAAGGGTAAGAAAAAAAATACTGCATTTATCTATCAGTGGCGCACGCTAGAAGGTCGCAGTAAAGAAGCGTAAATCAAAAACAGAACATAGATCTAAGTCAAAATGTGAGTTGATGTCCTTTAGTTTAAGTAAGTGTTTTACGGCATTTGCAACACAAGAAGGTCATATAAGTGCCGAAGATAAGAGGTGTTATAAGAGAGTAACAAACACACATAAAAAAGAAGGAGGAGAGATAAGGACGATAGGTGTTTGATAGGAAAGAAGAAGTAAACCACAATAAAGCACCCGCCAACCAACCACCCCCGTAGTTGATTTCCTCCCACCTTGTATCTAACCTTGTCGGGAAGATCAAAAGGTGAGAGGGCAGATGTGAGAGGGGAGGGACCTGTGTCCTGGGGTGTGTGTACCCGACATAGGGGTCAGGGGTCAGGGGTCAGGAGCGGGTATTTCCGTTTCCTGTTTTGTGATACGTTTGTATGTGTGTGTGTGGGGGGGGGGTGTCTGTATGTGTTTATGTGTGTGTGTGTGTGTGTGTGTGTGTGTGTTTGTGTGTGTGTGTGTGTGTATGATGTTGTTATTAAATGTAGTCTGTTTCATTTAGGTATATGGCATTCTTATTAAATGTAGTCTTATTTCATTTACTTAAAAGATATTGTTCTTAAATGCAGCCTTGTTTCTTTTAGTTGTATGATATTGTTAGTAAATGTAGTCTTGTTTCATTTAGTTGTATGATATTGTTAGTAAATGTAGTCTTGTTTCATTTAGTTGAATGATATTGTTATATATATTAAATGTAGTCTTGTTTCATTTAGTTGAATTATATTGTTAGTGAATGTAGTCTTGTTTCAGAGAGTTCGGTATAGTAGGTCTATACCATATCAAAGAAAGTCATAAAAAATAATAATACTCAAGTACACGTGATATGAAATTTTTTTAAAAGGAAATAATTAAAACTCACCAAACAGATTAGATGTGGAAAATTCGTATCTGTTGAGGCGAAGAAAAGAATACATGTACAGGTATAAAGTGGAGGAGCAAACAAAACTACAACAAAAATTAAATTCTTCACTTCTTTCTCTCAAAGTTAAAAAAGGAATCCTAATCTTAGCGCAGATAACATAAAAACGTGAACCAAAAAGAAACGAGACGCATAACCAGTTCTCCTTTCCAAATGCCAAAACAGAAATGGATTCATTTTATTTCTAAACTCGTAACTCGAGTTCAGTATCTACTCTTTATTCTAGGGATGACCTCAAACAGTACATGTAATCTATTCACAAACCATATGGCGGGTGGTTAGAGGGCGCCACTCATGGTAAGTCCAATTACTTCCCTCACTAAGCGACCGTACGGTTATCGGGCTGACGTGCATCTCTTTTCACTCAAAGTCAAACTGAGACGCAGATAGACCATTTATTATTATTTTATTTTCACACATACTCGTATTTTACGAACTTTAACCAGATTGGGGGCTCTCGTGGCCAGGATGTAAAGGTGTTGGCCTCTCATTCAAAGGTCCCGGGTTCGAATCCAGGTAGCGACCGAAAAATTTTCTTCTCTAAAATTGTCTCCTTTCACCTCCTTTCGTGCTCTCTAGCAATGTTCTGTTGTCTGCTTTCGTCTCATCTTTCTGCCCCCACCACCTCACCTCTTTTGCCCCCTCCTCTGGGC